CAATCTATAACTGGCCTTCACAGCAAAGCGCAAATGGAAGGGCAACACATGTCAAACAATAAAAGAAAAAAATTCCCAGATCATCTTATTGACCAGCTTGTGTACTGCAGCTTACGCATGTATTTGCAAATGTGTGCTAGCTAAACCCCTGTTTTTAATGCAAACTGATAGGACAATTCAGTCTGTTCACAAGCTGGTCGGTAAGTTGAGCTGGGAATTTTTTTCTTTTATTGTTTGTTCTGCAAAGAGCAGGCAAGTATAACATCTTTTTTATTTTAAAAACAAAAATAAAAATTAGCCCATCACTTTAAATGCCTTTTGAAAAATAGCAGCGCACTTAGTGGCATGTGAGTATGCCTAGCCACTCTTGTACATGCAGCCCCAAAGACATATCAGCAGTGTAAAGAGATGCGCATACTACTCTAGAGTACGATTTGGTGAGGCCACTGCTGTGGTGCACACTGTTCTTCTTGGAGAGAAAGCTGTACCTGAAGATCTTCAATGCAAGTAGTCTGCTGCTACTGCTTTATCCATTCTGTGGATCTGTGCTTACAACTAAATTGGTCATATCATTTTAAAAAACAACAGCCTATACTAGTTTTTATAATAACCACCCCCACCTTCCCTAGGTACAAGTATGCATTAAACTTTCTAAACCGATTAGAAGGACTCCAAAGATCTGGAACACAGTCACAGTGTCAAGTCTTCCTGCAGCTGGTCTGTATATAACTACGTTGAGCTATAGCTGATTAACGTTCTGCACTGGAATGATCAGCACAGATGGGCACAAAGCTTAAAATCACTTGATGAAGTTTTTTGTTTAATTAATGTTGTTCAGCAAGAAAGCATGTAGCTGGCAGGAACAAAAACACAGCAAACTCTAATACTCCTGCGCTTGGGGATGGACTCAGCTAGGGCTTTGGTTACATCTTGGATGTCCTGGAAAATGCACTCCTTGCTGCCCTCAACGAACCGGGGTAGTCCAATAGCACTGGATACAAAGAAAACAAACAGAGGGCACACCGGCCTAGTGCATTATAAAAAATATTTATTGAAAGGATAAAAATGTAATTCTAACACGTTTCGAGGGCTTAGCCTCTTCCTCAGAGCTGAGGAAGAGGCTAAGCCCTCGAAACGCATTAGACTGTTGGTAGTCCAGGGTTCCAATTGTGGATTTATATGCAGTGTGGCTTGGACATGTGTGATATGCCTTTGACTTTTATGTCAATTTTGAGTACCAGACTTACATTTTTATCCTTTCAATAAACATTTTTTACGATAATGCACTAGGACTGTGCGCCCTCTGTTTTCTTTGTATCCAGCTGGCTGGAACAGACTTCCCTGCACTGCCTTCCCTAAACCATGGCATACACATAGAAATGAATGTAAATCAGCTGTATATTATTATTATTATTATACAGTATTTATAAAGCGCCAATAGTTCGCTCAGCGCTGTACATTATAAAGGGAGACAGAACATGTGACAGAACAATACCAATACAATGCAAAACATGAGGGGTTCGAGGGCCCTACTCTTTCGAGCTTACAATCTAGGAGATGGTGTTTCTATTGCAGGAAACCAGTGTTGGACTATACAGACAAGCATCACACCACAAGTAGCCTGTGCCTGAATTCCCCTTCTGAAAATGCAATTGTTAACGCTGGCCCGTCATGCTCTTATAATGGCCTTAATAGTTTGTTCTAAAGCAAACATGCAGATTTCACTGGTTGCATGGATTAACAAAGCCTGTGACTCACAAAACACTCATTCTTCAGAAAGCCACGAGGCTAGCAGTTTTAAGAGATCAGCAAGGCAGGGAAGGTTACCTTTAAATAGGAACCCATATGGACAAACATGGAATGCCAATGCTAACCTACTTTTTAAAATGATAGCCGTTTGCTGGTCATGCTGACTCCTGCTGCTTCAAGCAAGAACTACTGACTCGCTGACCTGAGACAAGTATGTAGATCAGGGGTCTCCAAACTTTCTAAACAAAGGGCCTGTTTACTGGCTTTCAGACTTTAGGGGACTATGGCCATTGGGAGTAGAAATTGTACTGCGTTACTGGGAACAAACAATGCATCTTTGGCATTAGGGGAGGAATAGCGCCCTATTCTTGGGGTAAGTTCAAGAAATAGTGCCCCATCGTTGGTGTCAGTGAGATGAACATTGCCCCTTTGTTGGTGTCAGTGGGAGGAATAGTGCCCCATGGTTTGTTTCAGTGACAGGAATAGTGGCTGTGTTGATGGCAGTAGCAGGAATTATGCCCCCTTGTTGGTGTCCGTGGGAGGAATAGTGCCCCATGGTTTGTTTCAGTGACAGGAATAGTGGCTGTGTTGATGGCAGTAGCAGGAATAATGCCCCCTTGTTGGTGTCAGTGGGAGGAATAGTGCCCCATGGTTTGTTTCAGTGACAGGAATAGTGGCTGTGTTGATGGCAGTAGCAGGAATTATGCCCCCTGTGTTGGTGTCAGTGGGAGGAATAGTGCCCCCAGTTAGTGGCTGTGTTGATGGTGTAGCAGAAATTATGCCCCCTTGTTGGTGTCAGCGGGAGGAATAGTGTCTTGTATCAAAGTGCCCTAAGGGCAAGCAAAGGGCCGAATCCAGTCCCTGGGCCGTGGTTTGGAGACCACTGATCTTCATCTTGCGGACACAAAGTTCAGAAGAAAGAAGGCCAGCATTACAGCCAGGTGACTAGTACTTTCATAAGGATACATCAGCAATGGCACCCTCCATATTTCCCTTCCCATGACAGGTTTCCTCTCAGTGGCTGGATTTTAGCTCCCATGTTTCCCTCCCCAAAGGTTATCTTTAACCCAATATATTCAATGGTAAAAGTAACTCAATCAATGTTACCTGATCTTCTCCTGAACTGAAGAATCTGACTGGCAACTGGACACTGACATTTTATATAGTATGATTTGGTTAACAAAGTACTATGAATGCTGTTTAGCAAATTAGTTCCTTTAGAATGTAACAAAAAAAAAAAAAAACAAAACAAAAAAAAAAAACACTTTATGTATAAGTAACAATCCCCATAATCATTAAGGGTCCATTCAGATTTTGCATGGCAGTAAAAATTTTGTGTGTTCTACTATTTGTTACTGCAATGTGTGTACTGTGGTTCACTTCTGTGCAATTCATTCACTGTGATTGCCATTTCATTGCACTACTGGCAAAACCAATCCATAATGAACAGGCTCCCTTAAAGCAATGCAGGCTACTATGCATAATGCATACTAATCTGAATACCCTCAAACAGAAATTAAGTGAATTGGGGAAACCTGTCCCAACCTGGATTGGCCCAATTTGAAAAAGAAAGTCCCAGCAAATGTTAGCCATTTCATCTAGCGGAACTTATATTTTTCTTGGACAGATTTGGGGATACCAACATGAAAAACAAAACTGCACATAAAGATGTGGAGGACTGCCTGCAGATCTTCCTGGAGCGCCTTTATTTAAAATAGATGTCAAATATTCTGTTTACCGCATTAAAGCTTAAAACTATAATGAATAATCCTTTTTGTTGCATATTCTAACATTGAGCATTCACCTTGCTTTCTATATATAATATGTGTGAACATCAAAGGGAAAAGAAACAAATGCTAGCTATAAGAGGTTATTTAAGAATAATCCTGAATGTCAGCAGAGAAAAGAAAAGAAATATTCCTGTTCCTGCCTTTTTGTTGGATGTAGAGGAAATCTGAGTATGACTTATAACACATATTGTGAATTGTTCTCTGGGGCTTTACAACCTTGTCAAGATTTTCAGATTGTGGGAAACTCAGCACTTTAAAAGCTGCTGACCCCACATCAAAGGAGTCCTACCAAACCTGCAGTAGTTTCACAGTGGACAACAAGCTGCCTAACAATATGAATTTATAAGGTGTACTTTACCGAAAAATATTAAATAAAACTGTTGCCTACTAAAAACTCCTGCATTAGGGGAAGCAAAAACGTCATGCTGTCCCAGGAAAAAAAGACCAGTACTATGAAACACTATTGCAAAGGCTCTATAAAGCAGACTACCAGGATACTGACATTTTAAAGCATATGCTTAAAGCGGAATTCCACTCACGCTGTAAAAAAATAAAAAGGTCAGCATCTATAAAAACTGTAGCTGCTGACTTTTAAAAAACAGCCACTTACCTGTCCCTTGGTGTGTCCCCCGCAGCCCGTTTCACCAGCTGTCCTGTATTCTAGGAGGCCAGCATCTTCAGTGTGGGCACCCAGCTGTGATAGCTTGTGGCTTCACAGCCGGGTACCCCACTGCGCATGCGCAAGTAGTGCTGCACTTCATGAATGGTCCTGTAGTCTTGGTCCTGTCACGTGTCCCAAAAGACTACAGGGAGGGAGGACACCTTCCGCTTCCCTAGGCGATCGGACTGGAAGTGGGAGCGGGTACCTGTCAAATTCGGGTACCCACTCCCCCCCCACCCCGCCCTCCATAGGTGCCAATCCTTAATGGGGAGTGGGAGGAGCAGTCCTTAAAGCGGAACTTCCCCTTTTGGGTGGAGCTCTGCTTTAATAGAGGTATAAAAAAAGCTTTGCCAATTTTTGCTTTGGCTGTCAAATAACCTTTACCCACCACTGAACAAAGGTCAAGATGTGAAATTAAAATAATACTTGCCTTAATGCACAATCAAATGAGTGGTTTTAAAAAGGTTGCTGCAACAGAGAGGCATTGACATTTACCGCTCTGGAGGTTGAAGTATGTTACCTTCCCTCCTTTACAGCACTAGAACCCCCATAAAACTCTTCAGCATCTTAACATTTCTGAAACTGTGATATTCTTGTGCCTTCTGCTGCATGCCTTGGTTGCACCCTTCAACCTGCTGCATCATTGCGGAGTACTGCAGTACAAGGTTGGAGGATGGAACCAGGGCATGTGGCAGAGAGGCAAGTATAAATGCATTTCTATTTTAGGGACCTTTTGCCTGGATTGTAAATAAATAAATAAATATATAAAACAGGTTGCTTTTAAGCTCCATGTTGCATACCTTGTGGCAAACATGGCTCGGAGAGAGGAGAATGTAGCAGCGTCTTCCTTGAGGGCCTTCAACTCATTGCGGAGTTTCATCATGGCTTCGGTCACCATGGCTTTTTCGTTATCGTACTTGCTCTTTAAGTTTGCAAGAGCGACTTCTGCAGTCTGAAGGAAAAAAAAAAGTAATTGGTTTTATTTGAAAGTCAGTTTTCAGACACATCAGGGATGTTTTTAACACCAAATAAATGGAGAGACTAGTGGCACTATGGAGAGCTCATAACCAAGGTTGGAAAAAATGGTGTAATATTGCATTTCATGGGTCTCTTTCTCCGAAACGTCAACAATTTACCAGAAAACACAGAATAAAAAAAAAAGTTATGAAGTACAAATGGCAGAGTTGGCCATATGTTTTAATCATTATCCAGTTATCTGAATGCTAAATAAACACACTGATGGTAATTCAATGTATATTGCAATCTGTTTAATTCAGAGTCCTCTGACTATAATGGGCCCTGCAATTTGCTTCCATCCCACACATTAAATTACTGAACATTACTTCCACTTCAGCATGCTCTTTCTGGCCTTGTACACAGTGTATAAAAAATTTGAGTAAAAGCGCCTTAATATAAATAAAAGAAAGCTGCTATACTAAACATCCAGAAGTATCTCTGTTGCCCCCTGGGGGAGTACTTTAGTCCACAGACCGATTTCCTGGACGGATCATTGCCACACAGTGAAAGTCTGCCCACCCAGAGGGATACTACCCACCAGGAATATAGGGGGACCCCTAAAGAAAGAGGACCACCCACACCAGCTATATACTACCGAACAGTAGAGGGAAGACCACCCACTATCAGATGACATCTGGATTTTTTTTACACTAAAAGCGCATATAACATGCGCGTCTAGTGAGTGCGCATTACTTTTACCATGGATACCGGACCACGGATACCGGACCCTAATGTCACCTGAGCACTAAAGTTACTTTATTGACTCCTTGGATCACATTTCCATCTGAACTCATATATATTTATATGTGTAGGGTTCTGGATTAATTAAGGGTCATTTATCTATACCCATTCATTATTGCATTGACTTTCTATTGATTTTCAACAATGTTTTTTGTTCATTTTAGCGCTGCACTTTATATATACATAGGCCTTGTACATAGGCTTCACCTTGCATTAGAGCAGCATATATACAGCAAGTTTTTAATCAAGCATTAAACCGTTGCTAATTTTGATTAAACTTCACTGGGCCTTCAAAGCACCCCAGCTGTTAGTAGCCTGCTCACAGCCATTCAGTGCAGTAGCACGTAAATCCCAGGCTGGTTACACATTTCACAGAGCCTACTTTTTGAACTACAGAGATGCTGAAAGGAGGCGTTTCAGGAGGTGGAGTCAGAACAGGAACCAATGCTTGCAGGCAGCAAGGTACTATGGGATATGTAGTCCTTAGAAACTGAAAGTAAACCACAGAGAGAAGCTTAAAACCAGGCAAGGGATTCAGAAAGTTGTAGAAAGCGATGGCCAGCAGACATGTCAGAACTCATGGCATCATGTGATGACATGCCTGACGAAGGGGTCTTGCGCAGCTCCAAAACGTTGCACTTTTCTTTGTGATGTGATCTTTTTAAATAAAAACCTTTTGGACCATATCGAGATCTGTGGTGTGCTGGCGAATATGTACGTTTACCTTGACATATGCGAACTGATAAACTCTGACATAAAAAAAAAAATATACTATATGGTAACTTTGTATTCCTTGAAGGAAAGCAAAAAGAAGAATTTGGGGATATAAAATGTGAATGTTACCCATATCCCCAGAAAAGGTTTCATATCTGTCTCTTTTCAATTTATTTTATTGAACTGTCGTCTTAATTCTTGCAAAATGTAATTACTGTTTTATGGTATTTAACAAAAAAATGTCTTTTCTAAATCTGGAGTGCAAGCCCTTCAAATTCTGTCAAAGCACAGCAGACGAACACAATTCTTAAAGAAAAGATAAGACTGAATTAGAAAAAAGAGGATATATAGCTTTGATTTGATTTAAAAATAGAAAGATTCAGCTGCTCCAGAGATTAATTGCAAATACACTATCCAGTCTGCAATAATGAAACCTAACCTACTTTCTTTTGAGCATATCGCCCAATGAATAAATTATAATTTAAATAATAATTGCTTAAGCTCCATAGCCAATCGCTACTCACTTGTTTGTTGGCTTTCAATACAGTGCGCAGGGTAGCAATTTGCTCTCGCTTTGTGCTGAGCAAAGACTTCAGCTTCAAAATGTCCTCCATGAGAGGGTTTCTTTGTCTTTGTCCACTGCTGGTCCAAGCTCCTGACTAGCCACCTGCTGTCGAGAAAGCTCTGTGCTCCTGTCCACTGCAGCTTGTAAATGTTTGATCTGGTCACGGATTATGGCTATGAGGTTGTAAATGTTCATAGGTTCTTTTCTGTGGTCAGAAACAGGCGATGGAACTGGAGATACTGGAGATCCAGACTCGCTTTGGCCATTTTCTGTAATCAATAGACCTTTGGAAAGCAGTATTGGTGACCTGCGCCCTTTACCCTCAGGGCTGTTCCTGCCACCTTTTCCCTCCTTGTAGTAATCCAGCATGACCCTGTTGGGCGTCTCGTTGTTGCACATACAGACATGATGGTACAAGTTTGCCAATTCTTCACTAAATGTGACAAGCTCATCCTGTGCAACTGTAAGACTTCCTTGTGTTTCTCCTGCCACATCACTCACTTTCTTGAGTTCTTTCTCCAGTCTGACAACTTGGTCTCTATCTTGCCGTGTGGTCTTTTCTAGCTGGGAGATCTTTTCTGCCATAGACTGAGTTTCACTTTCATACCTGTTCTTATCCTCTTCGTACTTAAGCTCACATTCTTCATACTTGGACTTAACAGTTTTCAGTTCCTCTTTGAGGTCATGGATTTCTGCCATGGCAAGTTTGTATTTACATTCCAGAATCTCAGGGCCATTAATGTCAACCTCATAGTAGTCCCCATCTTCATGGCTGTCCCTCTCTTTCTCATTGTCTAGGGCAGACTGACGCTCCTTGGTGGCATGGAGCTTCTTCATGGCATTTAGGTTCTCAGTAAGCCTGTTGACTTTGTCATTCTGCTCAGAAAGAACTCCCTTGGTGTTCTCCAACTGTTTCTGAGACTCCTGAAGAGTTGACAAAAGACCAACCTTCTCTCTTTCAACCTAAAACACACATTTTGATGAAAGAGAAATGAGAAACCTATAAATAAGAATAAAAAGCTCAAAATGACAACAATTAAATATAGAAACTAATATAGATGTGACTTTAATTTTTAGAAACCTGTGGTGTTCTTTGAACTATTCTTGTCTTATTGTGTATCAATCACCGAAGTTTTGACACCCACCAATTCATAATTTTCTTGAGTTGAGATTGATACAAATGAGAGATACTGGGTAGCTGGAATTTCCCATTATTATGTTTTTTTGGGTTTTTTTTTAAACACGATTTGGGTGTAAGATACCCTTAACAAACTTTCCAGCTCTACCTAATTATCACAGCCATTATATAGATTATCAGTCATGTATTACACATTACTGGACAGTCTAGCTGCAACAAAGAGACACACTCTCACTATGGCCTCATGGCAGGGGATGGAGACACAAGCAGTTACAGGGAAATCTCACTAATAGAGCCTAACAGGTATAGGTAATAAGAGATGGAACCAATAATTGCATACTGAAAAAAAAAGTTGTTTAGGTGTAGTCTACATCTGTCCCATTCACCAATTGCTGAATATAAAGCAGAGCTGTGATATAATCAATCAATACATAAATCTGAGTGTCCACAACGTGATTAGTCCTTTCAATAAAAGAGTCCAAAGAAAACCACACCAGTTATAGAAAAATGCTGCTCCACGATGATCTTGTTCCTAAAAAACCCGCGATACATTTCTTGTAACACCCACTGAGTAGTGCACCTACTCCCAGGCACTCCATCTCACTTACCAGACAAAATTTATCAAACGCAATTGCAGATCATTTATTTGAGAGACAAAGTACTCCATCTCCACCTCTCAATGATTAACTAAGAGTGACCATGTAAAAAAAAATAACACTCCAAAATAGTGTAATTCTGTGAATTAAAACAATGGGATTGATTTACTAAAACGGTGAGTGCATAATCTGGTGCAGCTCTGCATAGAAACCAGTTTGTTCAAAAACTTGGAAGCTGATTAAAGTTAGAAGTGGATTGGTACCATGCACAGCTGCACCAGAAGTTGCACTCTCCAGTTTTAGTAAATCAACCCCACTGTTTATTCCAGCCAATTAAATACTACTCACAAGCAGATTAAAATGACCGCTTAACATAAATCATAAATCACTATATGTCTCAGTGAACATCAGCAAACCCTTTGATGAAGTTGACAGACGAAACACGTTGGGGTGGACAGCACAGCAACTGGAAGTGAAGTCAGGACCCTCACCGGAAGTCACTACATAAGGACTGGATGAGACGCCAATTGCTCGGCAGGAGGATGATGTTCACAAGGACATACAGTGATTTATGTTAAACACATATGAATCTACTGGTGAGTAGTAGCTTCATATTCAGCAACTGGTGAATGTGGTGGATGTAGACTTTATTCACTTATTTAAAGCAACAGCAGTGAATGTTTATGATTTATTTATCTTTCTCACCTATCTCTCTCACCTATCTGATTTTATTTGAGTGGTTTAGAGATGGCATTAGATTAATGAACTCTGCAGTGTGGTGTTTATTGTTGAATATGTGTGGAAGTAGTGTTTTAATCAGTTTCTCATTAACTTATAACCTTTTAGGATGTTGGCCATCAAACCTCATTTGTCATACCTGCATCAGCTGCTGCTTTAATTTCTGTATTTCAGAGATGTTTAGCTCGCTTAGCAGGTCAGAAACCAGACTTGGAGCTGGGTCGTTCTTTTTGGGGGTGGACAGCTTGTTGTCAGCATTCATTTTGATGACCCCATTATGCTCAAAACCATTCATGGAATCATCATTGTTAGGCTCGGTGATCTCATCGCTGAACTTGAGTCCATCCAGGGAGAAGCTCAAATGGTTGCTGTACATGGAGTCATTGATGTTCATGTAATGGGACAGCTCCTTACGCAGGTTGTTCTTCTGTTCACGCTCTGTCTTCAAAGTCTCTAGAGCTTCCTCCAACTGTCTCTCTGATATCTCTTTTAACCGGATGGCATCTTCCAGTTGGCTGTTCAAAAATTCTGTCTCCTCCTCCAATCTTTTGATCTCATGTTTAAGACCTTCAAATTCCACCTGGAGGAAACAAAGTATAAAATGTAAAATCTGCAGCTAACAATTAATTCTTCCCTTAGGGTTTAATAAAGTAAATGACAGCTATTAAATGTTTATAGAAAGAATCAGGAAATGTGTAATGGTTTGTACAGGCAAAATAGTTTTTCTTTAAAGTGCATTTAAACCAAAACACAACAATGTGATATATTGCAGCTTAGCAGTCCTTAGATGTAGTTGCTGCATTAGTTTCCTTTTGTCAGTTTGATGACCTTATTGTCACCTAGTGGTTCCTGCCAGTAACCTAATTCCTGCCATAAGGTGACAACACTGACTGTATAGTATCTACAGAGAAGCAGCTTTGTCACCCTAGGGTGATCTGATTTGGACTACAAACACCCTCCGCTCTGCTCACCTCCATAGATAGGAAAAATGTGTCCTGTAGATCACAGACAACAGATGGGAAGGCTGATAAGATTGTTTGATATTTCAGTTCAGTGCTCAGAACCAGTTGCTGACAAGGGCACTGGGATTGTATCAGGATCTACAGGTGTTTTTCTGTATTTTTTGAAAATGTACTTAGCCTAAAAAAGAAAACATATGCAGCCACCATATCTAAGAATTAGTAACGTGTAATATAGAAACATATTGTTCTTGGGTTTAGACTTCCTTGTAAACAATGTCTGTAGTAAATTACCAATATGTTAGTACAGGGGTCTCCAAACTTTTAAAAAAGGGTGCCAGTTTACTGCCCTTGAAATATTCATGGGGGCCAGACTGTGGGAATAGTGGCCCATTGTCTGTGCCAGTGGAAGGAATAGTGCCCCATCGCTGGTGTCAGTGGGAGGAATAGTGCCCCATCGCTGGTGTCAGTGGGAGGAATAGTGCCCCATCGCTGGTGTCAGTGGGAGGAAGGAATAGTGCCCTATCGCTGGTGTCAGTGGGAGGAATAGTGCCCCATCGTCGGTGTCAGTGGGAGGAATAGTGCCCCATCGTCGGTGTCAGTGGGAGGAATAGTGCCCCATCGTCGGTGTCAGTGGGAGGAATATAGTGCCCCATCGTCGGTGTCAGTGGGAGGAATAGTGCCCCATCGTCGGTGTCAGTGGGAGGAATAGTGCCCCATCGTCGGTGTCAGTGGGAGGAATAGTGCCCCATCGTCGGTGTCAGTGGGAGGAATAGTGCCCCATCGTCGGTGTCAGTGGGAGGAATAGTGCCCCATCGTCGGTGTCAGTGGGAGGAATAGTGCCCCATCGTCGGTGTCAGTGGGAGGAATAGTGCCCCATCGTCGGTCAGTGGGAGGAATAGTGCCCCATCTTTGGTGTCAGTAGAAAGAATAGTGCCCCATCGTCGGTCAGTGGGAGGAATAGTGCCCCATCGTCGGTCAGTGGGAGGAATAGTGCCCCATCGTCGGTCAGTGGGAGGAATAGTGCCCCATCGTTGGTGTCAGTAGAAAGAATAGTGCCCCATCTTTGGTGTCAGTGGGAGGAATAGTGCCCCATCGCTAGTGTCAGTGGGAGGAATAGTGCCCCATCACTAGTGTCAGTGGGAGGAATAGTGCCCCATCGCTAGTGTCAGTGGGAGGTATAGTGCCGCATCGCTAGTGTCAGTGGGAAGAATAGTGCCCACCATTGGTGTCAGTGGGAAGAATAGTGCCCCATCTCTGGTGTCAGTGGAAGGAATAATGTCTCGTATCAGTGGATGGGCCAGAGAAATGCAAGCAAAGGGTCACATGCAGCTCATGGACTGCAGTTTGGAGAACACAGTCTTGGAAGAAAAACAAACATACTTCAATGGCTAACTTTTCTCATGTTTATCAACCTTAGGGCCCGCTCAGCGTAGCTCTTGCATTAAGGCAGCTGATTCATTTGAACAGGATGCCTAATGCACAAACAAAAGGTGCATGTATTATTTCATGTAATGTAGGGCACTACAACACTTGGTAGTATGCTGCAACACATGTTCATTGGAAAGATGCATTGGGGTGCCACTCAGAATGAATGGCACCACTTTGCAACAACATGCGTTACTGAATGCTTACCTTTTCCAGGACCTACTGAAAAGCTGAAGCATTGCTTCTCCCTCAGCATCTGTAGGTATTTGACTTCGGATAAGCCCTGCCCTGCTGACTGCGGTCCTGTAGTGACATGCGAGTCGGCAGGAGAAACCACAGAGGCCAATGGGAGAGCGGATATTCTACACTCAGAAGTGTACAATATTTCTAGTGACTTTGGAGTGGAGAAGTGGTGACTTTTCAATACATGAGCCCTGGATAGGGAAGCAAATTCGCACTTTTTACAGATGACCTGAACAGTAGCGCAATCTGCGTGCGGGAGGACGCCATAGGGCGTCCACCCGGAACGCTGATGACATTTGCCGCCCACCATTCGGCCATAGGGCGGGCGGCAAATGGTTAAACACCTAAAAATATGTTACTTGTATGAAATATCCACCTGGTTTTGCTTGAGAACAGAGACTTGCTTCTGCAAGGATATATTCTCCTCCTCCAGTTCGGTGTAATCCTGGAGCAACCGCGCTTCACGGAACTTGTACTCCTTGATGTCATCGCGAAGGCGACCCCGCTGCACTTCCACATTCTGATTCAGCTGGAGATACATAAAAATCAAAACACTGAAATCACTTATTGTTGAATATAGTGGTGTTAAAGATTATTCATTTGTCCAATGCAACACCCAAATAAATGTAAGTTTGCTTCAAGACTCCTTTCCCCTTATTGCACGTTTATGAGTCAGGTAACCGACCCAATCAAAAATAACCAACTCCAGGGCACACTGTGCTGACATACAGATGATCGATAATGGGGACTTTTATGAATCTGTACATAAAATAAAAAGAGCAAGCTGCTATAGCTAAACTGACACACAGCAGATAAAATAAGTATTGAACACGTCACCATTGTTCTCAGTAAATAGATTTCTAAAGGTGCAATTGACATGAAATGTTCACCACGTTGGTAACAACCCGTGCAATCTATACATACAAAGAAAAAAAAACAAATAAGTTCACAAATTAAGTTACAGTTGCAAGAAAAAGTATGTGAACCCCTTGGGATTACGTGGAGTTTTGCATGAATTGGGCATAAAATGTGCTCTGAACGTCATCTAAGTCACAACAATAGAAGAACACAGTCTGCTGAACGTAATACGACACAAACATTAGATGTTGCCATGGTTTAACTGCACATAACATGTAAACATTCACAGTGCAGGGAGGAAAAAGTATGTGAGGCCCTAGATTAATGACTTCTCCCAGAGCTAATTGGAGCCAGGAGTGAGCCAACCTTGACTCCAATCAGTGTGATGATATTGGATGTGTTGCTGACAGCTGTCCTGCCCTTAAAAAACACACACCTGTTTTGGGTTTACTGGTTTCAAGAAGCACTGTCTGATGTGAACCATGCCTCGCAGAAAAGAGCTCTTAGAAGACCTACGATCAAGAATTGTTGACTTGCATGAAGCTGGAAAGGGTTACAAAAGTATCTCCAAAAGCCTTGATGTTCATGTGTCCACGGTAAGACAGACTGTCTACAATTGGAGAAAGTTTAGCACTGTTGCTACTCTCCCTAGGCATGGTCGTCCTATAAAAATGACTGCAAGAGCACAGCGCAGAATGCTGCGTGAGGTAAAGAAGAATCCCAGAGTGTCAGCTAAAGACCTACACAAATCTCTGGCACATGCTAACATTTTTGTTGACACATCTACAATAAGGAAAACATTAAACAAGAATGGAGTACATGGGAGGACACCACGGAGGAAGCCATTGCTGTCCAAAAAGAATATTGCAGCACGTTTGAAGTTTGCAAAAAAGCACCTGGATGTTCCACAGCACTACTGGCAAAATATACTGTGGACAGATGAAACCAAGATTGAGTTGTTTGGGAAGAACACACAACACTGTGTGGAGAAAAAAAGGCACAGCACACCAACATCAAAACCTCATCCCCACTGTAAAACATGGCGGAGGGAGCATCATGGTTTGAGGCTGCTTTGCTGCCTCAGGGCCTGGACGAATTGTTGTCATTGATGGGAAAATGAATTCCAGAGTTTATCAAGACATTTTGCAGAAAAACGTACGACTATCTGTCCGCCAACTGAAGCTCCGCAGAGGATGGGTGATGCAACAGGACAATGACCCAAAGCATACAAGTAATTCAACAAAACAATGGCTGCAACAGCACAGAATAAGCCTTCTGGAGTGGCCCAGTCAGAGTCCTGACCTCAACCCAATTGAAATGCTGTGGCATGACCTTAAGAGAGCGATTCACACCAGACATCCCAAGAATATTGCTACACTGAAACAGTTTTGTGAAGAGGAGTGGTCCAAAATTACTCCAGATCATTGTGCAGGTCTGATCTGCAACTACAGGAAACGTTTGGTTGAGGTTATTGCTGCCAAAGGAGGGTCAACCAGTTATTAAGTCCAAAGGTTCACATCCTTTTTCCTCCCTGCACTGTGAATGTTTACATGTTATGTGCAATTAAACCATGGCAACATCTAATGTTTGTGTAGTATTATGTTCAGCAGACTGTGTTTTCTATTGTTGTGACTTAGATGACGTTCAGAGCACATTTTATGCCCAATTCATGCAAAACTCCACGTAATCCCAAGGGGTTCACATACTTTTTCTTGCAACTGTATGTGTAATAAAATGGAATGACACCGGGAAAAAATATTGAACACGCAAAAAAAAAAAAAAAAATGTAGTTAATACTTCGTACAAAATCCTTTGTTGGTAATGACAGCTTCAAGATGCCTCATGTATGGAGAAACTAGTCGCATGTATTGCTCAGGTATAAGCTTGACCCATTCTTCCACACAGTCTTCAGATCTCAAAGGTTCCATGGCCTCTTCTATGAACTCTGATTTTTACTTCTGTCCAAAGATTTTCTATTGGATTCAAGTCAGGTGATTGGCTGGACCATTCTAGCAGCTTTATCTTTCTTTCTTTCTTTGAAATCAGTTGAGTTTCCTTGGCTTTGTGTTTGGGATCATTGTCTTGCTGAAATATCCACCCTCGTTTCATCTTCATCATCCTAGTCGATCGATGGCAGCAGATTTTTATCAAGAACGTCTTGGTACATTTTTCCATATTTCCTTCCTTCAATGATATGAGGTTTCCAGTAACATATGCTGAAAAACAGCCCCACACCATGATGTTCCCACCTCCAAACTTCACTGTTGGTATGGTGTTTTTGGGGTGATGTGCAGTGCCATTTGACCTCCAAACATGGTGTGTATTATGGCATCCAAAGAGTTCAATTTTGGTCACATCTGACCAGATTATATTCTCCCAGTAGTTCACAGGCTTGTCTAAATGTTGTGCAGAAAACTTGAAAGAAGCTTCAACATGCTTTTTCTTCAGCAATGGAGTCTTATGTGGTGAGAGTGCATACAGGCCATGGCGGTTGAGTGTGCCAATTCCAGGTCTTTCAGAAGCTCTCCACAAGTGGTCCTTGGACAACTCTTCTGATAATTATTTTCACTCCGCTGTCAGAAATCTTGCGAGGAGCACCTGGTCGTGGCTGGCTCATGCTGAAATGATGTTCTTTTCACTTCTGGATTATGGCCCCAACAGTGCTCGCTGGAACAATCAGAAGTTTAGAAATCCTTCTGTAATCATTGCCCTCAGTATGTTTTGCAACAATAAGGTTGCAAAGGTCTTGAGAGATCTCTTCCTTTTACTCGTGAAATGTTTCTCCTGTGACAGCTTGGCAATGAGACACCTTTTTATAGGTCAATTGTGACTGAACCAGCTGATATTAATTTGCACTGACAAGGAGAAGGATTGCTTTCTAATTACTGAGAGATTTCAGCCAGTGTCTTGACTTTACATGCCTTTTTTGTGCCTCCCTTTCTTCATGTGATCAATATGTTTTCTCCGTGTCATTCCATTTTATTACACATAAAACTTAATGTATAAACTTATCTGCTTTGGTTTCTTTGTATGTATGGATTTCAAGGGTTATTACTGACGTGGTAAAAATGTCATATCAATAGCACCTTTAGAAATATATTTACTGAGAAAAATAATAACGTGTTCAATAATTATTTTACCCGCTGTATACCTCCAGATCTGTCTGCTGATCCCTCACTGAGCAGAGCGGGCAGATGACAGGTCCGTGTCTGCTCAGTTTATGCAGAGTGGACACAGACACAGCCTACTCTGCTCTATGGGCAGCCAGATATAAAACAGACTCAGCTGTCTGTTTACACCCTACTGCCCTCTGATCCTATCGACGGAAGAGGAGCAGATCCTTTTCAATTTCTTTTTGCGGACTGGTTTGGATTGGAGGTAGGCAGCTCCACAGAGGTAAATGGAGGGTCTGATCAGGTTCACCGGAAAAACTTACAGGCAAACCCAAACCGACTTATCGTGTGAAAGAGGCCTTACACGCCAAAAGCTCAATATTTGTAGATTCCTTCAGGACAGAGATGTAACTTGCCCTCCCAAATCCCCCTCCACCTATGATCCTTTGCAAAAACTGCCTGAGCTGACTGATGCAGGTTTTGTTAGTATAAAACCAATAAATCACTGAACAGCAGCTGTTGGACCGTTCTAGAATGTATTCCATGTGCAAATATTAGAAAAGAAAGTTAAAAAGAAATAGTGCATTTTCTTTTTGTACACAACCACAAAAGGAAAAGGAGAAGGGAAAAGGCCTTGTGAGCTGGTATTCGTCAAGCAGATTAGCAGAGCAGGGACATAGAAATCCCTTTATTAATTCAGCTGCCTAGCACGTGTGACGTTTGTTACATTCCTTTCCAATTGTCACAGAAACTGGGAAAAACAGACAAAGCTGCATTCTATAGGCTTACAGAATACAGGATACAAGCCCTTCACACTATACGCTCCTATGAGGTAGGGATGTCATCTATAAAAGACTTGTTCTTTAATTACTTGGGTAACAGCTTCATGAACATCCTAGACATATTAACCTCCCTAGCGGTCTGATTATGTCAGTATTTCTGTGCTCAAAGCGGTACATATTTTTGCATGGAAATACGTATTTTTTTTTAATTGCAGACCTGTAATTTTTAGGAATAACTTACTGAAATCTGTCCGAACAAGAGTCTAGTACACATCCCGGGTATGTTAAAATTTGAAACACAAAATCATAAATTATAATTTAATAATCATAAAAAATAATATAATAATACATTTAATTCAATAATATAATCAAACCAAAAACACTGACATTTGAAATATAGCGCCAAGTTCGCACATCGCTGAGCAAAGTCGCAGAATCGTTTTCAGTGTCTGATGACGAATTTCCCACGAATCATTATCACTCAATTCTGCAAGTGGTTCTGATTTACTATCGCTGTTCTCTAGCTGGTCTAAAACCGATTTTGACCTAAAGGGACGCTTTTTGGACACCATGGACGTTTCTCAGTTTCCAGGCAGAAAGAACAGTAAAAATGCAGGCAGAGCACAGGACAAAGCACTCGGGACAAAATGTATGTGAAATGGTTTGATACAGTAATGTTTTACTGTGTGATTTTAGTGTATTTAGTGAATGTCACTTTTACAACTTTCAAATTTCCCGCCAGTTCCATCCCCGTACGTCCTGACATCGCAGGGAACGGAACCCGGAAG